ATACAATTACAGAAAGAATGAATGGTTATGAAATCCAACCTTAAAGCAATCAATGTGCGGATTTAATACTAAATTTGTATTATAATTTGAATTCGGATTTGACGATAATCAAGCAGCTGATGTGTTTGGGTTTGATCGACTTAGGCGATCGATAGAGTGGCAATCGCACCTGCCGAAGTAAAAGTCGTTTAATCAGCTTGTTGCGGTCGGATGCACTTGTAAGGAGTTTAGGCATTAGCAATCGTACGTCTGGTCTGCTTATTGAATCACTTGTCAAGTATGTCGGTTGACTTCGACCGAGTGATCGGTCGTTGAATGGTCTGCTCGAATCATGCTACTCTAGTCTGATACCTCGATTGTCCGACCACCATCCTAGGCCATCTGATTGGTTTTAGATTCATGTCGAAATTTTTACTGCATACAAACTTCCATCTGCTTAGGATATCTCCATCCATGGTTAGTAAAGCACATGCACAAGAAGGCCTATATTAGAGAAGAACGAGTATTTGTCAAGAAAGTAGGAGCCGATGCAGCGGGCAATTGTCCAAAAATTGGACGTAGACCCACACGCAAGATATATTAAGAGCTTCTGTGCACCTTAAAAGTCGTGCTTTACTATTTAAACATTAAAATGTGCTGAAAGAAAATTTATTATGCAAAGGTACAAATATCTAAATATTTAATAGCTTAAATCCGTGCCATCTTTTGCTTTGTAATTGCAATTGCTGATAATAATTGGGAATCCTATGAAAACTCGTATCGGTGGCCTCCGTATCTTCTCTGCCACAGTCTATCGTATCAAAAATTTTTTTATGTGGACTCCTTACGTAGCACTACGTGCGGCGCAGGATATTTTTGAGTTATTTTCATGTTATTTCAAATAATTTAGAAATAACCTAAAATAACTCACGGTCTTTATTTTTGGGTTAGTTCGGGATTATTGAAAGTAACCCAGAAATAACCTGAAAATAATTCAGGAATAACCTGCACCGCACGTAGAGGTACGTCAGGTGTCCAGACAGAAAATGTGCGCCTGTCGTACGGATTTCCTCTCATATTTAATATTTAAATCTTCGGATAAGTATTTTTTTAATGACTTTTAAATTTTTAAAATTTCTTTAAATAAGAAAATTTATATACATTCCACATGTATCTTATATATTTGGGGCATTTATATTCCTACCACTTGAGTATGATTTATTTACATATCTAACACTTAAATTTAGCGTTAACATTCTTATAACCTGAACTTTTGTCATACAAAAATGCTGTCATTTTAAGATAAATGTATATTTTCATGTATACGATGTGGTAACACGTATGCAAAAATTAATATAATGATTAGATATTAGATCTGATATGCCATCAATAAATTTTTTTCTTATAACATAAGTTTCATTGCATAACACCGATTTTGGGGCAATCTTTTGAACCATAAACATTCGAACTTTATTTCAAAGTCATTCAGAGTTTTGATTTCAGCAAGCTTACAGTTAAACTAATCGGCTCAATGGGACAGACTCAATGTAGCAAAATTGATCAAACCCGAATTAAATCAAGCCCAACTCAAGTTGTTTAACTAATTTTGAAAGTTTTTGTACACATTTGGAAGGTCGAACGAAAGTTGATTCTGACGAGCTATGTCAAATCAAGCGTCTTAACAAAACCAATCCAACTAGTCTAAGATCACGCAATTTTGGCATCATTTAGGCACTCAAATGTTTATCAAATGTCGTTCCATCGAGAAAAGTCATTTGTGTCGTCCGATCAAAATGATTCATATTCATGCATGAATTGCACCTATAACTCTAAAAATAGAGTCCCGCTCATTTCATGAAGGGGGAGAAGAGCTTGAGACTTGACAAACAACTTGAAACTTTGAGAAGAAACTAAAGTTCATCACCACTCCTGCCGCCGTCGACCACCGCCAACAACTGTCAACCACCACCAACTACTAACGACCGTGGTCGAGCATTCTTGTCACCGTCACCCATCGACGCGTGCAAATATCTTTTACCTTTTTCATAATTTACTATCTAGGTTTTCTGTAATTTCGGAAACCGACCGGTGACCTCCCATTCAATCCAGCGTTAAGTATCTAATCAAATACATAATTAGTCAAATTAAAAAAAAAAATTAATCTCCGTACCACGTGCCTCTCACTTAAAGCAGCGAAGCCGAGGGGCAGCCCAATCGAAATCGCAGTCATTCATTATAATATTTAGATAATTTAATGAATATATTTATTTAATAACTTAAAACTTATGTTATCTATATATATGATACTTAAAACTATTCTTTTTATATATTTATTACTCAAATTTTTATATTGACCTATATAATACTTATTTTTAAAATATTATATAAAAAAATCATTTTCTCACCCTTCGGTTTGACTATCAAGTATAAATGTGAGCTTCTCTTCTCTCATTGCAACTTCTTCAAGTCTCATCATAAATTTCTCACTTTTTTTTATATATATAAGCATAATGTGTGAGATAGAAGTTTACACAAAAGATAATTCAATAAATAAAAGATAAATAAATGTTAAATATATTGATTAAATAATTTTAAATATTAAGCATGTCAATTCCTATTTTGTTATGGAAAAATGATGCCGCTTATATAAATTATTTTATTGCTATTTATTTTGAATTTTAAGAATAATGCTCAAATTGTATAAGCAACACATTATAATGGGCAAGAAAATGGTAGCCATCCAAATGGAGTCTCACGAGAAACAAATAATCCGTCAAAATAATCAAAACCTGTAAAGAAAATGACGAGGTGAATCTAACCCTAATACTCAGTGTTAAGTTTAACATATCAAAACAAAATCATTCAACAATATAAACTATTATGTATTTCATGTCATCTAGTAAAAAATAGTAACAAAAATAGCATAGCAAAAAAAAAAAACATTAAATATGTTATGTGAAGCAACTACTTGCTTCCATTGTCTTATCTTTGGCTTGCCCACTTTACTTCATCCAAATTTGCTTCCATATCTTAACCTTGGGTTTCCCACTTTACTTTCACTCCACAAATGAGATGAGGTGCTTGCAATATCATTACCAAACAAAAGATTATTCCTTTCACTCCATAAATGAACTAAGCAATGTGTAAAAGGATAGTAGAAGCATTGTGGTGTTATTCATATCCTCAAAATGTTCTAAATTTTACAAAGTAATGGGCGTAAGAGGATAGTGATGATCCATGGAAGCTATTTTTTAATAACTGGGCAAAAGAAAGGGTAAGAGAATAAATTATGAGGTACATATTTATTCATGGGATTATAAAAGGTGCATAGAAGGTGAATGTGAATGTTGCGGGTAGTATGAGTTATCTTCAAGGTGCTATTAAATACAAATCAATTGTAAATAAAGCATCTTAGTTGGTGCCAAATAGATTGAATTATCTAGCATCAGAAGTGTAAGTTCAATTGGTTAGCCACATCAAATTTTATGAAGTAAATGCTCAAAAGATTGTGCTAAGACAAATAAATTGTTTTATTAAAAATGTGTGAACACCTTAGCAACAAATTCTTAAAATAAAGACATTCACTATTTGAGAGTCATATACTTAATCACATTTGCTAAGAAATTAATTGGTTGTATGAAATTCAGATTGCAACACACATTATAGTAGCTTTGTTATAAACCTCAAGGAGAGATTACTTATAAAGTGTCAATAATACATTTGCATCCCGAAGAGCAAGTAGAATCCCAAGATATCATATGAATTATTTCATCACGGGACTTTCATGGTAAGAAAATTTGGATCAATGATTATTTAGGAGTTGGATGCATCCCTTAGGAATAAAATATGTTTGAGGTCAATTGGTAACAACTTTTGAGATAACAAACTTGTTGCCATCAATCATGAGCTAGATTTTGTTGAATAACAATGTTGTCATTTAAGACTTGGAAAAAAGCAACAAGCAAGCCCTGGCACTTAAAATGTAATAACGAGAAGGAAAATACAAATAGATTTTGTTGCATGTGCAAATTGGATGTTGCTTTAAAGTAGCAAATAAGACTCTTAATTATATTTGCCAAAATGTTGGAGAAGCAATAAAACCAGTGGAGAATTTTAATGTCATAATGATGTTACCAACTTTAATGATAGAAAATATTATAACATTTTTAGCATAACAAGAGATGGAAAGGGTGAGTATGATTCACACCAAATAGGATGATAAAATGCCAAAGCATGTTATAGCTTCGATGAGAATGATAATGAAAAATTAAAAGAGGAAAGAGACAACCTCGTAGCTTATCTTATATATTCATCAAAAATGTATTTTACTTTTTAAGAAACTATAAATAATGATATTTTTTTATATTATATCTATGATTTAAGTCGTATAAATATAAAAAAAATTAATGTTAAAATTATAAATATATAGTAATTATGTAGTATGTCTGTAAATGCCCCAAATATATAACTCATTTTAGATTATGTTTGGGGCAAGCTGCTGCTTATTGAATAATTTGTTGATAAGTTTTTTAAAAATAATATATTGTTCAACAGAAGAAATGGCTATTATAACTTTTCATTTTTTTTTTGGAAAAATCAGATCGCTGGCAGAAAAACTGCCAGAAAATATTATTTCTAGTGTTTTTTAAAACACATAAGTTGCTAATATACGATTTTCTCAAATAAATCAGGTGCATTTTCAGGCATCAAATAAATTGCCAAGAGTTTAAGGGTCTGTTTGGGGCAGCTTGTGTGTTTCAGGATAAACTGCTTATCCTGAAACGCAGCCCGCGGGCCGACTGCAGGGGTCTACCTGCGGCCTGCGTTTAGTGTAAAAACCCAAACACAGTTTCAGAAAAGCTGGTGAAACGCGCGAACCAAACAGTACGGAGGCGGCGTTTTATAAGCTGCCCCAAACGGACCCTAAGCCGCAGACTAAAAATTTCAGAGTATGTGAAATGTTTAAACACTTATGATTAAATTAGCTAAAAAATACTAAAAAAAATATATAATTTCAAATTTTGCACAAATTTCAGCCGTGAACTGTTTCGATGCAAAACCATTAGATTTGTCGTCGGTTGTGATGACCATTGTGTAAAGCTAAAATTTTTAAAATTATATTTCTCGAGCTTCGTGCACCCTTTTCTCGTATAACTGCGGAAGATGGGAACAACTTAAGAAGGGTTAGGTTCTGTCGTGTACCCAGCTTCTTCTTCTTCCCCGACACACCTTTAAACTGATGTGACACCTTAGCAGTCTCCATGGCAAGGTGCGAGGTCGTCGCCGGCGCCCGGTTGTCTCCATTCTCCACCGCCGGTATTCGCCGGAGGCTTTTGGAAGCCGTGCTATGCGGCGCAACAACCCACCGCCGGAAAAAGGAAGTAGAAACACCCCGCAGCAATCCACCCCCTCCGGAAGAGGAGAGACAGTTCGAAAAGCTGTCCGAGCTTCTTCAAGAAGAAGCTCGAGAGTCACGGAGGAGAGAAGAAGCCGAAAAGAAGCGAAAGATCGAAGCTTTCGAAGAAATGCAGGGCGTCGTGATGAGTCTGCAGGAAACAGGGGAAGGCCGTGATGGCCGGCGAGCTGATGCGGCCGCGGAGGTGCGAAGATTAGCAAAGAATAACCCAGAGGCCCGGCAGACGCTCGCAATGCTCGGCGCCATTCCTCCACTCATCGGATTGCTCGATGCGGAAGACTCCGATTCCCATATCTCTGCTCTCTACGCGCTCCTCAATCTCGGAATCGGCAATGACGAGTAAATAAAGCTATGATCTTTCCTCTCATTCTCCCCTTTCTGCGATCCCTAATTCCTTAAAAACGAAACTTACACAGGAACAAATCGGCCATAGTGAAAGCTGGAGCGATTCACAAAATGCTGGTCCTGATCGAATCTAGCCTGCCAACCCCCCGCCGCCGGAGACGGCGGCGGCGATCGTCGCCGTTTTTCTCTGCCTCAGTGCTTTGGATGCCAACAAACCCATCATCGGAGCTTCCTCCGGCGCGATCCCCTTCCTGGTGAATTTTTTCCGCGATCCTAACCTCAACATTAACTCCACCCAATCCAAAGATGACGCCTTGCGGGCTCTTTTCAACCTCTCGATCTCTTCTTCAAACGCTGACCGGCTAATCGACGCCGGCCTCGTTTCTTCTCTCATCTCCGCAGTCAGCGAGGATACTAATATCAGTGAGCGGGCTCTCGCCGTGCTTTCCAACCTAGTCGCCGCATCGCCGGAGGGCCGGCGAGCTGTGAGCTGCACCTCCGACGCGTTTTCGGTTCTGATCGACGTGCTGAACTGGAGCGACGAGCCAGGGTGTCAGGAGAAAGCGGCGTACATTCTGATGGTGATGGTGCACAAATCGAGAGGCGGTGAACGAGCGGCGATGGCGGCGGCGGGGATCACATCAACATTGCTTGAGCTCGCGCTGGTTGGGAGCGCGCTCGCGCAGAAGCGAGCATCGCAGATTTTGGAGATGCTGAATGAGGAGAAGGGGAAGGGGGTTTCGAAGAGGATGGTAGCGGTGTCGGCGCCGATTGATTCCGCCATCGGCGGCCGGATTATATCGGCGGCGGCGGCGGCGGCGGCGGCGGTGGAGGAGGAAAAGGGGATGAATGAGGAGAGGAGGGCTTTGAGGAGGTTGGTGGTGCAGAGCTGGCAGAGCAACATGCGGCGGATTGCGCGGCGAGCTAATCTCCCGCAGGATTTTGCATCTTTGGATTCTTTTCGTGAACTGACGGCATCTACCTCTAAGAGCCTGCCATTCTAGCTGATGCGACGGTAAAAGAGTTTTTTTTTTTTTTCAGTATCATGAGATGAATGCTTTACTTTGGGGCAGTTTTTGAAAACGCCTTCATATCTTTTTGATCGTCCATTTTGCTCCTCATCCAAAAATTTGGTTCCATTTTTTATACTAAAATCAGAACACGGGTCGAATCACGCGGTCGAACCCCACGATCGACCCGCGGGCTGTATTTCAAGATAAGCTGAATGTCCTGAAACACACAAGCTGACCCAAGCACACATTTAGTAACTACCAGGCCTTATTTCGGATTATTATTATTATTATTTATTTAAATTAAAATATTATATATTTTCTAAATGTCGATTTTTACCTTCATAACACCTTGCCAATGCATTAAAAAAAAGGTGGATTTTATTTTTAGATGATGTGATATGAAATATTTGATGGTATAAACGTTAAGATAAAATTAGTGTGTTAAATATGTAAATAAATTGAAATTGAAATAGGCTTGTATGTATGTGAAGTAATTTTTTTCTTAATCGATAGGGACTCTAAAAAGGCCGAAAACTGCTTACCTAATGAAGATGCGGAAGGGTCCTATCACTCTCTTTTTATGAAACATTAAATAGGATGGGTTGGCACATCCCAATTATATTTGGTATAGTTTTAATATCATCTCTCTTATATTAAATTTCTCTTGTTATGAAAGTATTCGTGGCACAACAAATATTGGAGAATTTTATTTTTAATTTTAATTTCCAGACGGACGACAATTGATATATAAGCAATATTTTCGATCTTGAGTGAGCTCAGCTTTGCTTGTGTTTAGCTCTTGTGAAATCAATTCTGTTCAAAATTGTTCTTAAACAGTGTGTTCGTGTTTGACTTGATTTACATATTCTTATTATTTTTATTCGTGTTTGGCTACTGTCTGACTCGAAATTGTTTTGTTCAAATTAATTAGAAAAATATATGGAGGGCATTCGATTCAAATCTAGACTACACCAGTTGTTGTGATTTATATTTAATATATATGATGTTATCAAATAAATAATACATATAAGTTTCTTATTTTGAGCTAAAACGAGCCCAACAAGATCTAATAAAGAGTTGTTCGTGTTCAATTTATTTATAATTTGAGCTTTAAAAAATTATTTTTGTTCAGCTCACTTAATTATCGAAAGATTTCGAAGTGAAGCTATTTGGGAGTTTTTTTTTTTTTTTTTGACAAATTAAAAATTGTTTTTTTATATATGCATCCATAATGGTAAATGATATATATTACATACATTTATTATGAAATAAAGTTTAGTAGACAGATCCATCAATCTTAATGTTATAGCTGGGAGCTCGTTGTTGCTGAGGTCATATATTCAAAGAATTGCGAATTCTGTGAGTTGGGACTAAATTTGTGAAGAAATATGTATATACAAATTAAGACATAAATGTTTTTTTTTATGCGTGTGCAATTTGTATTGCATTCATTGTAATCATAAATGTAACAAATTTGTAAATACTTTATTATGTTTAGACCCTACTTTATATTTATTTATTTAGTCTCAAAGTTGGGAAAAAAGACCCTTGATTTTGTCCTTCGTGCTTTTCCAAAATGTTGTAAGTTGTTCGTTGAAGGGGCATGCAGGACTGGGTTTTAGTTAAAAATTTGATTTTTTGCATGTTCCTTTTTCTTTCATGTTCTTTGACTCTTTTTCTTCTTTAATAAAAAAAAGTAAAATTTACCAACAGACCACACCATTCTGATGTTCTTACAAATCTGACTTTCTAAATTTTGCTATTTACACTCGTAACCTTTTGTTAGATATGTAAATAATCAAGAACTGTGTGTTATGTATGTAAATGAACCTAAAAAAATGGCAAATAAGACTTATCTTTCTAACAACCCTAGAAATGAATTAAATGGTCTTTTACACAATTGTTTGCCATGTGCTTGTCTTTTGCTGCAGGAGTGCTGCGGTTGAAGGAAGATGGGCGGCAGGAGTTTCAGAGTTTTTTTTTTTTTTTTTTTTTTTTTTTAATTTCTGGATCTTGTCTGATGTAAAAAAAGAAATAACATTTGCTCTTGTTTTGTTTGTTTCTTGAGTTATAAATTAGGAATAAATAAATATTTCAATGGTGATGCTTCAGAGCTTTAGATTTGCTAGAAGAGAATATATTTTTGTTAGCGCACGGCAGAGAAAAATCTTGAAAAAGTTGTCTTTTTTTTCTGAAATTTGAGCTTCAAAGCTACAAAATAAAAGAGATACTTGTAAATAGGGATAATGTGTTGTAGAAAGATGGATTTGGAATGATTTCTTTTTTTATCTATTTTATACTCCTTCCCCTGGGACTACAAAAAAGAGAAGAATAAATAAATGTTATGTTGTAGGTTGTATTGTATGTAGTCTATTGAGACTTGTCATTTGAACATATATTGTTGTAGATGTCAAGTGATTCATAAATGGGCATGGATGGTGATGGGTCAAAATCTTTTTTTTTTATTTTTTATCAACATGTTAACTTCAAAAGACCGATAAAGGACCTTGATGGTGAAGCTTGAGATGTGTAGGTGAGCTCAGCGAACAAGCTCAGCGAATATGTGCGAGCTCGGCGGAGAAGCTTGGTAGGTTCAAGTGAACTAGGCAAAGGAGCTGGCCAATTCATTAAATCTTTTGAGAGATGGTTCTTGTGGTCATCACTTCTATGAATGTGGTCCATGAGTATGATCAGTTAGAGAAAAGTAGGCTTCAAGTTCATGAGGACTAGAATCAATTAAATAGGCCCACTTTACATGGGAGATTCCTTGGTAGGTTAAGAAAATCAATTTTAGATGTGCAATTAAATAAAAACTTTGTTAAAATTTTAAATTTTAAAATAAAGTAATTGTAATTGTGTTGGATTTATTATGATGCAATAGCTCTTAATGATAATGAAGTAGCTAATAAAGTGACTTGGCTGGTCTTCAACCCTATGATGGAGTCGAGTTCGAATCCTAAAATAGATAATGTTGTTTCGACACTAAGGGGATCAAAGTAATGATAAAACATCGAGTAATTTTCAACAAAAAAAAATTTGTAATTTATGGAAAATAATACGATAATGGTTATGTGTGGGAGATCTAACTATCAATATCTTCATATATGAGAGGAATAAATCATGACAATTTAGCTCATCACATTAGCACTCGTTCTTATGAACTTATCATAATAAGATCAGAAATTCAAGCAAATATGTGATTAGTTGAATTTGCAAGACCAATCATGGTCTACAATTTATGTACCAATTCACCATCAACATATTTACAACATTCGACACGAATCATAATGTGTGACATTAAACATGATGCACCCATTTGAGCAAAATAAACTCAAACTTCAATTAAGAGTCATTTAGAGCTCCTGGCAAACTTATAATCAAACTGACCGGCTCGATGAGGCGGACTCGATGATACAAAAATTGATCTAATCCGAGTCAAGCCAAGTTTAGATCAATATATTAAACCGCTTTTGAAAATTTTTTTGGACATATTTGGGAGGTCAAATGGATGTCGAATTCAGCGAGTTCATAGCCAAATCGAACATCTTGACAAGTTGAATCCAATGAACCTAAGATCACTCAATTTCAACGTTGTTAAGATCCTCAAATGTCAATCAAAAGCCTCTAATTGATGTAGCCTCTTCGGACCTTCTGATCAGAGTTATTCACATTCTTGCATTGATTGCACTCACAACTCTATAAATAGAGCTCACCCCTCTCATGGTTGATGGAGGGACTTGAGTCTTAAGGAAGAACTTGAAGCTTTAAGAAAAAACTAAAGTCCAACATTGCTATTGTCGTCGTCGACCATTACTGCCGACCGCAGTCGACCAACACCTGCCGACCGCCGCCGATTGTTATCAATAGTAGTCCCTTCCTTGCAACAAATTTATATGCACGATGTTGTAAATTGGGAGAATTTCTATTCTTTTCCCGCCTCTGAGAGAAGTTGTTGCAACTGTAATCCTCGTTGTATAGTGAAACTCTTTAATTGAGCTAGACCCCATGGATTTTTATCCATCTAAGAACCTCAGATGTCACTACTAATTATTTTCTCTCTTCCGAGTGTGTGTTAAATTCTTGTGCAACGCTAAGATGATAATTCATTACTCTACCGCCGAGAATCTTCCAGCACGCTTCATGTCCAAACAAATAAAACACAAAACTCAAATGATGGAAAAATATTTCTTAGGCCCAAAATCTATTATACAGCATTTAAGAAGGCTTTTAAAGCAATTTGTATGTCAAATATTATTATGAATAAGTGCCTTTAGAGTGCTCGCAGTGGGGTCGACTACTAACTAGAGTTAAACTAGATGCAAACAATATCTTCTTGAATGCATAAACAACAATTAAAAAAGAAACAAGAGCAAATTAAGAGTTATGTTTACATTTAATTGATAGTGATCTAGGCATATTCTAAAGCAAATACAACTTCACCACATGCCCGATAAATAGCAACGGTCAATGTTTGCATTTAAGAAAATCTTTTCTTATGGTAATAAAAGAATTTCTATGAGACATACATCTTACATAAAAACTTCAGGTTTGCAAGTCTTAAGGAGTGAAAAGATGTGAGCTCTGCAACCATTAATCAATCCACTTATCTAATTAACATTTAACAACTGTAAATGTTGTATTCAGCTTTTGGTGGTCTTAGAATATATTGATTTTGTGCTTCATGCAAACATCACTCTTCTTAATCTTGGAGCCCTTGTAAGAAAAAAGGGTCATTTGCATAATATCACTATTTTAACTTTAAAGTAAATGAAATACATATTTTCATGCATAGATAAGGCGACATATATGTACAAATTGGAGTTTATGTGTTAGATATGTAAATACATAGGGATTGAGTGGTATGTATATAAATCTTAAGAAAAAAATGATTAAGATATATTAATTATTTCATGGTATCTTTAACTTGCTTTGACATCTAATGCTTAGAAGGTATTATGTCTCGTCTAAGGATAACTTCTGATTTTATGATTAAATGCCTATTTTTTATCGTTTTCATTCATTCCCAAGTATCCTTATTATTGTGGTAATATGACAGCCATACTTCAGGTTAGGTAGAACATTATATCATTATTTGGATTACGGTATTTTTTACAACCTGAATACTCTGTATATATATATATATAAAGGGTTTGATACAATATTTTGGGATGGATCCTATTTTCGACAATGGTATTTATTGTGGAAGGATGTTGAATCTCATCAACGTATGATCCCATGTAACTGGTGAACCCGTAAAATTCAGGAGAGATCTTGTGAAAGCAGTGAGAAGAATCTAAGAGATCTTTTAGAGAAAGAGGAGTCCAAAGAGAGCTAACTCCAAATTTTCTCATTTTAATTCTTATTTATACACTATGGATCCTATGTATCTGTGCAGGGGTCTAAGAAATAAAATAAAAAAGTTGCACTATAAGTTGTACAAAATGGGAGCTTGGTAGACTTGTAGTTGACAAGATCTTTGGTGTGGGCGTCAGGCGGCCTATAAATGGTTACATAAATGATGATGGACTGAAGCTCTCTTTCTTTTGAAAAATTATTACGTTTGAACTCCGGATGTGCAAACAACGGCCAGATGCAGCGAAGAGGGCGGAGGTCTGATTCCCGCACTCCACCGGTGCATCCGGGTCGTTGTCCGCACATCCGGATGTAATAATTTTTCCTTCTTTCTGCCTGAAAGAACTGTTCATCGAGCTCGGTAACACAACCTATATTAGCTAAATTTTACCTTCAAAGAACCAAATTTTATCTCCATTTTGCCAAACTTCAATAAAAAATTTAAATACCATTTTGTTTTTTGGGTACTGTTTCTAAATTATAAGATAATTGAAGCTTTTATTCTTGGTATAAAATTGTCACACTATTAAATGCCAACTATTTTTTATAATACAATATAAAGATAAATTGCATATGATCTAGAACCGAAATGACATAGAGACAATCTAAAACTTCATATTTACAAATCTACCGCCCTTCTTCATCCATTTTTCAATTTCTCACTCAATTATCAAAATTAATGGTAAAATCCCAACCCAATTTTTTCATTTTTATCAAATTCTCGATAGTTTGATCAAGACACGTGTAAATAAATGGGTTGAGTGGTTAAAAAAAAATCACCTGGGCAGTTACTCGTAAATATAAATGTTTATGGTGGTCTGGATGTAATTATCCCTAAACGGTAATCACTTTCTTTATCATCTCAATCAAAGAAAGTTAGCAAAAAGCATTATGCATATATATATATATATATATATATATATATATATTATAAATTTATACATATACCAAACAATTCTTATCTATTTACATATCTAACACTTACATTATTATATTTAGATTAAGTGCATTTATGTGTCATGAACATACTTGAGAATTATGCAACATTTAAAAAATAAGAACAAATAATATTTTTTATGTGATCTTAAAGATTTTAGTACTATACGTGTAAATATGAAAGGTTAGGTGTTAGAGAAGTAAATATATAAGAATTGTGAGGCATATTTATAAATGCCCCTAAAAAACTTACAAAATACATTCACTATCTACATCTATTGTCAATCTCAACATATGTCAGCGATGTCAACATACATGGAGGGCCTAAGAATCCTTGAGCAAGAATTGCACATTCTCTGTCATCTACTTCAACATAATTCAAGCTCTTGTTCGTTCAGACATAATTCTATTTATAAACATTCATCATAGACATTTACATACATACCACCTGATTCTTATGTGTGTATATATATATATATATATAGTGTGTTTATGTTTATATATTTTTGAAAGAAAAATATTATATATATTTACCGAGGAAATTGAGGGCTAATCCTAACCAGTATCTTTACTTAGTCAAGAATACTCTTACAAACGACACAAAACTTTTGAAAATAGGTTTATAAATAAAATGATTTTCATAAAAAAATAATAGATAATTGTTGAATCTAAATTTGTCCTTCAATCACACTAAAGGAAT